AATTTTACATTGTTTCAAAGTAAAACGCCTGGCCTACTGCCATTTCTTGTAAAGTATGTGATACAGAGATCCCAACAGAAGATTATGGCGGATTTTTATCCCATCTAGTTGTCCGATGACTAAGATGTTGCATTCGGTGCTAATTCTACTGAGCGATTACAGCTGGTTTCATACAAATATACGTAAACATGAAGGCACATAAGAAGACAACAACAAACACACGCACTTGCTTCTAAAGCATATGCGACTTGAACCAAGCAAATCACTTTGTACCTCATCAAAATGCATAAATTAGGGATATCCGGTCAGCTTTCTTGGCCCTTTAACACGAGTATGATTGTAAGAATTCCATTTTCTTCTGATTATGACGGACGAAAGCTCAGCGCAGTTTAATCGTATTCGAAGGAGAATGTCTTGAGGACAGAGTCAGCAAGAATGCTTCAATAAAAACTGATCTACAGGTAGCCAAGAAGAATCTCCGTCTTCCTCTAGAGCAAAAAGCTTTTGAATAGATTTTTCAGATACATTTTTGAATGAGATGGGAACTGGCTCAACAATTGTAAACCAACTTATTTTACCTCACATGACCATTTTGATTCAGTATCTATTTTTAGTTTGGAAGTAGCATATTTCGCTCAATTTCAAAAGTGTTCTTTTATTTCTTACTCTGGGCCTCATGAAGTCACCGAATCCGAAAGGACACCATAAAATGATGAACAGTTTAAAAAGCCAAAGAGTCATTCTTTACTTTAAAATGTCTTTGGGGTTCGGCTCTATTACGTTGAATTTCCTTTCGTCATGCCCCCCTAAAAGACTTCATTCTGGTAGTCGGGCTACTTTGACCTCCCTTGGGTCCTCACGCGTATCCCGAGCCGGATTCGCATTGTGTACTCGCGAATGTGAAGGTATGACTGAAGCCGGTTTGGCTAGACGCTTGACAACATAGTTTAGTCCTCGAAGGATCTAAATATCCACAACATATACAGACTGTCTTTCGGCTGGTGTTGAAGCCAACTGCAATTCACATGCTCCTCTCTCCCTCTCGTTACGCCGTCTCGACAGACCCACAGAGACCGTTGTCCTCGCGACCACGCTATTATCTGGCCTGCACCCTCTCCACCATTCGGTTGCTGTGTCACTTCCCAAATACACGTTCAGCTCCAATCGGCCCGTTTCCCTGTCTTGCCGGTCTCCACCTCACCCAATGCGCCCGAACCCAGTTACCGGCTCCATGCCGCCAGCCCAAAAAGACAATTCGACCATAAGGTCGGTAGACCGAGCCCGCCTCAGAGTTGTGTCATTGACAGTCTCTAGTAACGGAGACGCCTTAAACCGGCCCAGAATGGCGCCAGTTGGGGC